TTGTTGTGGTCCTCTTCAGAAGGGCCAACTTGTTGAGGGTCTTTTCGGGTGTGGAATTAATGTACACTGTTGTTTTTTAATATAACTTAACTTTAATTATGATAAACTAATTACAATAGTTACTCTGAGGGAAACTGTGAAAAATAATAACGTGTTGAAGAGTAAAAAGAGAGTTGAAGAGCAAAAGTAAAAGAGTGTTGAGCAAAAGAAGTATGTGACTGAAACAGGGTTTTAGCAAAAGAGATGTGAGGGCCTGTCTTGCAGTTCCTTAAATAATATCTAAGCTACAGAAATGCCAGAGGCGTACAGTACAATTTATATATCCTTAATCTAATATTCAGAGCAGTGGACGACACTGCCCTAAACTTACATTGTTCAGATAGACAGACGTCTGCGAAAGCTATATAAATTTATGATCAAAATTCCCAACAGTAATAGTTAAAGTTATCAATTAGAATTATATTGTAGGGTCGTTTATGACCTCAAAGGTATGAAGGTTTTTATTAGAGATGGGACATTCCTAAACTAATATTACAAATTTGATTAAAATGAGGACGGGATTATAACACCTCCCCCCTAAGAAAATTTTTTTCCATAACAAAAAAAATTAAGAGAACAAAAATCGTCAAATTAAACAATAAACAATACACACAATAACTACACTATTCTAAGAGTAAAAGTTTGAGAAAAAAAAATAAAAAAAAGTAAAAATACACTGAACATTTTAGTCTTTAATTAGTCCATATGAACCGATGGTGTTCTAGTCGAGCGTCGACCACTTAAGTTTAAAAATTCCACGGCTGAACGATTACTTGGGAGTCCACTTCTTCCAGCTTCTTCTTCCAATATTTGTTCGAATTGGGCCTGAGTTATTGGATTTGGAGTATTAATATTTGTATTAAATAGTTTAATACAGCAACCTTCAGAGAGGGTCCTGGGCTCCTTGGTACAGCATAGTAATCTTCTTAGCAGGTTGAACAGTCCACACCATTTTAGAATATTATACAATAAGATGATCGTTACAATTGAACCAATTGCTGATAGTCCAACAGTATACCAGTGTGAATGTTGCACAATAAATGGTTTCTTCAATTGTATGTCTAAAAGATCGTCCAACTGGTTCAGCTTGTGATTAGCGAAGTTCAGTTCATCCAATTTTAAATTTGTTATCTTCACTGGCTCAAGATCTAATGGGGTTATGTTAAGTTTAATTTCCTTCTTCAAACAACAGTCGTCTAGCACAATATTATAATCTGGAGTATAGTAGCTAACATTACGAGTAGTCACACTGAAAGCTTGTAAAGTTATTGTTTGAGTGTAACCCTTGCAAAATGGTTCAATACTTAAAAGTCCACTAGATTTAATCTCTATATCTTCTATTTGAGAATCCTGGCAAGATAATGTTAAAGGTGTTGGATTCGACATAAGGAATAACCACGTGTTCTTCTCTAGGGGATGCCATATTTCAAAATTTGCTTTTACTGTTTTGGCTAGACAATCCTCTGGGATTTTCTTAATTATGGAGACATACAGAAACACTTCACATACAGGATGTTCTTGAACTCTTATAGCTTGGGAGTTCTTACATATGTATTCATCTTCGGTGGTCTTCGTACAAGTTGATAGATCCCGCATCGCCACGTAATATACCTTACTAGTACTTATAAGAAGATAAGGAATGGTAGGTTCAATATAAGAATAAAGGTTAGATGAACTATGTGAAACGGGTAAAGGAAGTAATTTGAATAGATTATAGTTTAATTCTTCTACCAGTGGTATAGAAATACCAAAAATTAAAATTGTTCCAGAAAGTAAAACTTGTAGTTTACTAATTTCAAAATATTTATGGATAGTAGAATAAGATATTGAGAGAGGAAAGTGTAAACCATTAACCAGTTTAACATTAGATAATTCGTTAAGAAGGTCCTTTGGACTTATGACTTTTGGATGTAATATGTTGTGTTTAGCTAAGGTTATGGATGATATTAATATATCGTATTCTTCATCTAAATCTTCTAACAACTGAGTCATCAATGTTAAATGAGAATTTACGGTTGTTTTGAATTTCGTATTTAATAATTCCTTGAGAGTTTCATTACTAAATTGATTAAAAAATTTTATATTTTTGTTCAAAAGCTGTTCATTTATTTTAAAGCTTTGAATACTATCATTAAAATTTTGAATAGTATTTGATATAATTCTTATTTGTTGTTTCATTGTAAGTTGAGTTTCGTGATTTGCAGATAATAGATTTTTTATGGCTTGGTCATAAAATTTTGCATCGTCAGCATCAGGTATACCAAATAACCAATTAAAAGCGTATGAAGCGCCATTAAAAATTCCTCTTTTACTACGTGAAAAAGTTTTATATCCAAGCATTCCATTGACAGTATCATCTTTGTCTTGAATTTTTGACATTCTATTTTTTAAAATAGTCAAAGTATTATAACAAAAATTATTATCGAAACCTGAATTTTCATTACTGTGACATAAATTAAAAGAACCTTGATATATATTAGAGAGAGAATTTAGTTTATCATTATAATAAGATAAATTTATGTGTGTGAAAAGAATGATTTCAGATCCGGATATCTTTGCATTTCCCAATTTATGATAATATATTCCCGTTTGTCCAGGTAGATAAGTTATATGATAATTAGAAGTGTTAGAGGGTAATGGAAAAAGTACAATAAGGTATAAAAATAAGGCGAACATTTTAATCTGAAACAAAGGGTTTTATCATGTTAGTATGATAGATAATATGTCTTTTCCCAATTTGAATTTGAACATTTTTTTCATTAAGTACTTTTGTTATTTTATACGGGCCTTTAAAATTAGGGGATAATTTTTTGCTTAAGCCTGGAGAAACTTGTTTATTTAATATATATACTAGGTCATTAGGTTTATAAATAGTCGTTTTAATTTTTTGATCGTAATATTCTTTTGATTTAAGCTTTGATTTAATTATATTTTCTTTCGCTTGGGTTTGTGTTAAATTAAGTTTTTGTTTGAGACTAGTTACATAATCATCGTATGAATAATTAAATTCTGGTTCTTGAGTTAAGGTAGTTGGAAGGTAAGCCTTATTACCGAATAATAATTCATACGGTGAAAAATTTGTGGAAGTATGAATATGTGTATTATACGCAAACATTGCAAATGGTATAAGTTCATCCCAATTATTTTGTTTATTATTTATATAATGTTTAAGATATTCCTTGAGCGTAAGATGCGATCGCTCAAGAGCACCGTTTGTTTGAGGGTGATATGGGCTACTGGTTAAATGCCCTATTTTAAATAATTTAAAAAGTTCTTTAATTAATTTGGACATGAAATCACTTCCCTGGTCAGAAAGGATTTTAGTTGGTATTCCGAACAGTACAATGAATTTAGTGAGTTCATTCGCTATAGTATGCGCTTCGTGATTTTGAACTGGAACAGCGTACGAGTATTTAGTTAGGTCGTCTTGCATTGTAAGAATAAATCTGTTTCCATTCTCGGTAATGGGTAATGGACCAACTATATCAATCGCTAATCTTTCGAAGGCCTTTTGGCTGGTGGATGTAATTTCCATAGGGGCCTTATTTGGTTTATAATTAGTTTTATTTATTTGACACGAAGGACAGCGTTTAATATATTTTTTGATATCTTTCTTCATATTGTTCCATTTATAACTTTCCTTAATCCTTTTATAAGTTCTGGTATAACCAGAATGTCCGGCTAATTTAGAATCATGATTTTCTTTTAATATTTGTTCAATCTCTTCCTTAGTCTCAGGTTTATACTTTTCTCTATTAATGACATGTACGTTAATATTAGTATCTTTAAATAAATAATGAATTATTTCGTAGTACATAGATTTTTTTAAATGTGTACAATAAAGTGAAATGTCAGGTAAATTTATTGTTTTCATATCATCTTTTATTAACTGAGTTCTTAAATTACGTAGAGAATAAAATACATCCTTATAGCTTAATTTATCAAAATGAAAATGTTTTGTAATCATTAAATAGCATAATTTATTTTGATTTTTTAATTTGTAAATTGAATATAAATTAGGAGATATTATCTGATTAATATTGTAGTCAAAATTATCTTTAATGTGTTGCGAAAATGGATTATTTTCGTCCAGATCTGAAGAAAAATAAATAGCAGCAGGTAAATTATCGAATAAATTTGAGTTTTTAATATCAAGTTTCGGGGTAATTTCTGAGGTTTGATAATGATATTTAATAAAATTTTGATAATCGTCGTCTTTAGATATTATAGTAATGTTGATATTTCGTGAGAGAGCATCTACATTAGAGTTTATTCTGCCTGGTTTATAAACAATCTGATAGTCATATTCGTCTAATAAAAGTCTCCAACGAACTAATCTACTTCCTGGGTCCTTACAATTAAACAGCCACGTGAGAGGTTTATGGTCTGTTACTACAGTAAATTTCCTTCCATATAAATAGCAACGAAAATGTTTTATTCCATAGACAATTGCCAGTAACTCTTTTTCTGTGGTCGAATAATTTTGTTCTGCAGAATTCAGAGTACGACTAGCATAAGAAATGGGTAAATCTTTGCCTATTTCTCCTTGACTTAGAATAGCCCCAACGGCATAATTAGAGGCATCGGTAGTTAATATAAACTCTTTCGTAAAATCTGGGTATTGGAGTATAGGTTCGGTAGTTAAAAGAGTGCGAAACAAGTCAAAAGATTCTTGGCATTTATCAGTCCATATAAAAGGTACATCCTTTTTTAAAAGTGATGTAAGCGGTTTGGCTATCTTTGCAAAGTTATTTATAAATTTACGGTAGTATCCTACTAAACCTAAAAACATTCTTATGGTTTTCTGATCCTTAGGTACAGGAAAATTGAATATAGCATTAGTTTTTTCGGGATTGGGTTTTACGCCATTTTCTGAAATAATGTGACCTAGATAGGCAATTTCTTTTCGTAAAAACTCACATTTATCAGGTTGTAATTTTAAGTTATTAATCCTTAATCTTTCAAAAATATTTTTAATACGTGATATGTGCTCGTCAAGAAAAGCGCCATAAATAATTATATCGTCAAGGTATACAAAACACTGAAGCCCTTGTAGTCCGCTTAGAACTGTATTCATCAATCTCTGAAAACATGCAGGTGCATTTTTTAATCCGAACGGCATACGGTTAAATTCATAATGCCCTGTTGGTGTGCTGAATGCTGTCTTCATTTTGTCGTTCTCGTTCATTGGGATCTGATGGAACCCAGACGCGAGATCAAGCGTAGTAAAAAATTTACTGTGACCTAATTGATCTAGTATATCCTCTATGTTAGGTATACTTAACGCGTCGCCTACAGTGATACCATTTAATCCTCTGTAATCGACAACTACACGCCATTTTTGTTGTCCAGATACATCTTGTTTTTTAGGAACAATCCATAGAGGTGCAGACCAAGGTGAAATCGAAGGTTGTATAATACCTTGTCTCAACATTTTATCTATTTGATTATTTACTTCAGCTTTATGTATTTCCGGATATCTATAAGTTTTTGCGGATATTGGTTTTTGATTAGTTAAATTAATTTCGTGTTTCATAGTTCGCGTACAAGTTAATTTATCGCCAGGTAGGTGAAAAATATCATTATATTCCGTACATAAATTTAAAATCTGTTCTTTTTCCTCAATATTTAAATGGTCTAGTCTAAGGTTTTGATTTAATAATTTATTTCTGCTAAATAAATCTGTTGAATTAGTAAAGATATTAAGAGTTTTAGCATTATTATTTAATGGTTCTAAATAAACTGAAAATGGTTTTAATTCGTATTCTGTTACTCTAGTGTTTAGAATTGTAGCAAAAGCTTTTTTATTAGAATTGACCTTAGTAATAGCTTTTGATAAGTAAATACCCCTTTCGAGTTCTAGATTAGGTAATATTCCTTCGTTTAAATCAGAGTTTAATACATTAACTTCAATAACAGTTTCTGTTCTGGGCTTTAAAATAAGATAATTATTATTATAAGGATTAATATTCATTTTTAGATGTAGCGGAAAAGGTAGCGAGTCAAGAGAAAATAATTGCTTTTTTAAATCAATTTGGGCGTTTTGTGATTTAATAAAGTCGTATCCGATCAGACCGTCATAAGGGACGTTTGTTTTCTGATTAAGAATATGGAACTTTATTTTCAATGTATGATTCCTAATATTAAATGGAATTATAGTACTACCCGCCGTTAATACAGGAGAATCTGTACTTAAACCGTGTAAGGTTAATTTCTCGCTA